TTTTTTTGAAGAGTTTATTGAATCATGAGTTACACAGTTGGGATATGTTTGAATCTCTTGTATAATATAAACACTTCCAATCCTATGAGTTCAAGGATAAATATTACATATTTTCTTGTTTATAGTCTAAAAATATCATATATGAAAATAATATTTTTAAAATATCGATATACTTTTTATAAAAAAAAAAAATTAGAGATCTTATATAAATAGTTAAATAAAAACAATAGGTAATGAACGAAAATTTGTAAAATATTTTTTAAATAAAATTTTGATACTAATATAACAAATTTTGAAGTTTAAGTTTCAACAATAAAATGTGTTAGTGGATTTGGAGAAAAAATAATAAGTCGTGCAATGAATTTGTTCTGTAAATTCATCAAAGTGGTGAATTGAACAAATTTATGACGATTTTATTTCAACAATAATATATTTTAATTCAAATATTTTATATTAGTAGAAATATTTGAAATAATTATCTATAAATATATAATTTGGCAAAACAACATTTAATTTTATTCTAATGCATTTAATTATATTTTCCCTCCAATTTTTTCAGCATTTAATTATATTGTTTCACTTTCCTCCAATGCATTTAATTATATTATTTCACTTCCCTCATAAATCTACTACAAATGTTATTCTGTTTTTTTTTTTCTAATTTTTAATTCTCTTTGTTATCACACATAATCAAGAATTACACGTATTTTTCACTTAAATTTTTCTATTATATTAAGACGATTATCCTTAATTTTTCAAGTAAATTACATCATCAAATCATGAACTTTATTCGAATTATATGATATAAAAAATGTAAACATTGATATATAATCATTTTAGTTGCAAATACTCAAAAAATTAATCAATTACAAAATTTGGTATTTAAATTGAAAAAATATATTAATCTCCAATCTGCTCTTGCTATTGTATCTGCAAAATAACAGTAAAAAAATTAATTATTAAACATTAGCTATTATAACACAATATCATAACATCATTCTATAATTAAATATTAGCTATTATAACACAATATCTTCATGCGCCTGAATTTCTGAATGGGATTAAGTGCTCGGGACTTCCTAATCATAAATTGCACTTGAAGGTTGGCGCTCCAGTGATGCTATTGAGGAACATTGATCATTCGATGGGGTTGTGCAACGGTACGCGTTTGGTTATTACTAAGCTAAGCAAACATGTTCTCGAGTGCAACATTTTTACAGGTGCTAGAGCTGGTGATAAAGTTCTTATTCCAAGGCTCACGATCATTCCTTGGGATTTGAGGGTACCTTTCAAGTTTCAGCGTCGACAGTTTCCTATCATCGTCTCCTATGCTATGACGATCAACAAGAGTCAAGGCCAGTCTCTCTCACACGTCGGTTTAATCTTGAAGAACCCTGCTTTTTAGTCATGGACAGTTGTATGTGGCTCTTTCTAGAGTCACAAATCGAAAGGGTTTGAAGATAATGGTTTGTGGTGATGGTGATTTCAACAATAGGAAAACTCTCAATGTTGTATACAAAGAAGTGTTTAATAATATTTAGAATTATTTACTTAATTCATTTTTATTAATAAATTATGATTTTGTATTTTTTAATTATTAAATATTCTAAATATTCTCCTCCGTGTAAATTAAGTATTCTCCTCCGTACAAATGTACCGTGCAAATGCACGAGTTGAGTACTAGTTATGTATCAATATTTATTTATATATATAAAAGCTGACAGAGCAATTAATATAACTACTTTTATTTTCTTCTTTTTTTCCGTTATTTTTGCATTAGTATTTAAGTGATTATATTTTTTATTATATAATTACTACTATAACTAATCATAAAGTCGCATTAAATGTAATTATGTTCTAAACCTTTTTCTTTTAATTATTAAGCAAGTTTTTCTTATTAAGATTAAATTAGTTCTAAACCTTTTTCTTTTGATTATTAAGCAAGTTTTTCTTATTAAGATTAGTTAATTATTTTTAATGCCATAAATAAATCCTTTAAAATTTTGTACACAATTGTTATAATAATAATTTCACTATTGTTTTATCTTATTAATTGATCATACTCAACCAAGATTGCATCAATTTAAATATTAATATGTAAGTTAAATAGTTTTTTTCATTTATACTAATGATAAAAAATTATAAATTGTGATATGGTAATTGTCTAAGTTGTTATAATTTTAAATATTACACAAATACACATATAACTTTATAAATCTTGTTTGCATTTGTGCATATGAATAGGATGGAATACTACTACATGCCTTCCGACCAACCATGACTTATTTGAAATACTTGCACACAAACCAAACAAACAGTAGTTACAACAATCATCACAACATAAGACATCAACCAGTTGTTCCCTTACCAAAGTTGCTGTAATAAGGAAAAAGCAACCTAAAAGATGGGATTTTTTCATCAATGGCCTTGTGCAAATCCCCTTATTTCACTCCTTCAGACCTTCGAAGCCCCGCGAGTATGCAACCGAGTAACCGTACTCAGTCCCCGAGACCTCCCATTCAAAACGGCCGAAGAAAGAACCCATCCCAGTCATAGCGCAAAAATGCAGTCCAAATCATTTCCCAACTTTCAAGTGCTCGGCAAATCCCCACAGTGTGAACCAGTTGCCGAACAAGGACCCTTTTCTAAACCTACACCCCGAAGTCTCTCTGCTGAGGGGCGAGACGAACTCCACCATGACTAACCTGAGACAGGACTTCTCGGGCGGCTCTTTTTCCGAGAGCTTGAAAGACTCGAACTGTGTGAATAACTACAATGAGGCCAAGATCAAGGTTGTTGGGGTTGGAGGGGGTGGATCGAATGCAGTCAACCGCATGATAGAGAGTGCCATGAAAGGGGTCGAGTTTTGGATCTTGAACACGGATGTTCAGGCTATGAAAATGCCGCCTGTCTTCCCGGAACACAGGTGGTTGCAGATTGGAGAAGAGCTGACGAGAGGGCTTGGGGCTGGTGGAAACCCGGATATTGGGATGAAAGCGGCTAAAGAGACCAAGAAGGCAATAGGAGATGCGGTTTTGGGGGCAGATATGGTCTTTGTGACTGCTGGAATGGGTGGGGGAACGAGCACCAGTGCAGCTGCTGTAATAGCTGGAGTTGCAAAGTCGATGGGTATTTTAACTGTTGGTATAGTTACCACCACTCCATTCTCATTTGATGAAAGAAGAAGAGCCGTTCAAGCCAAAGAAGGAATCGCAGCTTTGAGAGAAAATGTCGACACGTTAATCGTCAGTCCAAATGACAAATTGCTGACTGCAGTTTCTCCTTCTACTCCAGTGACAGAAGCATTTAATCTTGCTGATGATATTCTTCGGCAAGGAGTTCATGGTACTTCGGACATAATCACGATCCCGGGACTAGTAAATGTGGATTTTGCTGATGTAAGAGCAATTATGGCTAATGCCGGTTCCTCGTTAATGCGAATTGGAACTGCTACAGGAAAAACCAGATCTCGAGATGCAGCATTAAAAGCCATTCAGTCTCCTTTACTGGATATTGGTATAGAGAGAGCCACTGGAACTGTATGGAATATAACTGGTGGCAGTGATCTAACATTGTTTGAGGTTAATGCTGCAGCAGAGGTCATATATGACCTAGTGCCAGTGGACCCAACCGCTAACTTAATTTTCGTGCTGAAATAGATCCATTTTTAAGTGGTCAAGTTAGCATAACTTTGATAGCAACTGGTTCTAAACGTCAAGAAGAAAGTGACGAGAGAACCCTTCAGGCAAATCAGCTGGGGCAAGGAGATTCGAACATTGGTCTCAACAGGCGGCCCTCGTCTTTTCTGGAAGGCAATTCTGTTGAAATTCCCGAGTTCTTGAGGAAATCTTAATTTCTCTCATGCTATATTTGGCTCTGCGGTTTTCTTCGACTTGATCTTTTACCTTTCAGGATGGCCCGAGGATTGTGGTATTTTGTGTATACAGGCATTTTGGTTTTACAATTTCAAATAATCATGTGTGAGAATGATAGGCTTTAATCATGTAGAAAGTTTTGCTTACCTGCAAAAAAAATAAATAAATAAAATAAAAAAAATCCACCCGACCACAAATATATAACAGACTCTGAACCAAACCGGCTCGCTCACGAGCCTACAACCCAATACGTGCCTCGGTTGACAAACACGAACCAAATCATTCGTAAGTCGAGTGCCAAGATTCCGTGGCGACATTTTTCTAATGATTGTAGTAAAATTGAACCAACACCTATGATGAAATTCTCCAAAATAATTTCTTACCAACTCTTTCAGCATAACACATGTATGAACATATAAAAGCTCAACACTCTTCCTCACTATAAATCAAATTTACTTCACCGGGATTATTTTTGTTGAGTACTTGATCAAATCACCTGCTATTCCACTCACAGTTTAATTTGCTATGCAAGGGAGTGTAGTACCTATGCCGTTGTCTTACCTCTCCATTTCAAACGAAGCCATATTACCCCGCCATACGTCCTGTTCCGCAATTCCGACTCATCAGTCCACTGCACGAGTTGTCTATTGACGTGAACTTGCTCCAAATCGTGTTGCCAAGAGTAGGGCTCGGTCCTGACGTTCTTGTTTGCTAGCAACATGTTTAACTGAAACTCCGAGAGCCTGTAGTTCCTGTCCGTCCCGCTCATGAGGCTACCACCCCATACGCAACTTGGTCGACAAACACGAAACAAGCCATTAGTAAACTCCAAGTACCAAGACGCCGTGCGACATTTACAAGTATCAAAATTCAAGCTCCGCACCACCACAGGTGGCTCGTCACCGTGAAAAGTACTACTACAGGGCACGTCCCGAGGGCCGCCGTCGATCTGCAAAAACAGAGAAATCGAAGACCCGCTTAATGCCTTGAGCAGTCGTCTCAGCCCAAGGAACCACCAATTGATGTCGAAATCGGGATCTTCCTCACACGATGAGAGGAATATATATGAATCCCACTCCTTGGAAGTAGTGGTCGTGAAAGAGAATGTGTCCGGGACCTTGGGAATACGGGCAGTGAACGTAAACCTGAGAATGTTCGGGGCACAAATCATAGCTTCTTTAAGCGGTATTTTGCTGGTCGAGATGTTCAAGTACTTGACCGAATCACTTGCAAGATGGAATTCCTCGAAACCGGAGCAATTATTAAGGGTCAAGCTAGCAAGAGTTGGGCAGCCGAACGATAACAAGTCAAACGACTCGCTCGACAGGATCACACTATAGAGATCCAAACTCGTGAGCCGAGAGAACAATAATGTGCTTTCCCGGTGACACCAAATCCATGGGCCACTTAGTGACACTGTCTCGAGATTCGGGGCATCGATTTCGATGCTACGCCCTTCCATCTTCATGTAATCACACAATTCAAAGTGCTTGAGCCCAGGCGCCTCGCTCAGCCTAACGTTTCTCAACTTCCAACAATATTTAATGACCAGGCGACTGAGCAAAGGGCAGCCCAACATTTTCGTATCCAAAGTGTCGCCACCAAAGTGGACCTCTTCGAGGGTGAGCGTGCGCAGACTTTTAAACCACACTCGCTTGACCGGACTCAGCCTGCAATTTCTCACGTGCAGTACTTCGAGGGACTCGCCTATGAACATGGCCGAAGGCAGGCCGTAATATGGCAGAGTATATGAACGAAAGTTGAGAATGACCGTTTTTATGTTGAGGGCGGGTATCATCGGGATCCATTTTCCGAGAAGGGACATGACCGGTCGTGATGCCGGAGACGATAAGTCGAGATGGAGTTTGCGTATGGAGAGGTTACGATCAAGGTACGCTTGTAGGGTTCGGTCGACTACCGACACAAAGTTTTGTTGTGTAGTGTTGAACAATTTTTGGGAAGAATCGAGGTTGCGGCGAGTTGATCCTCTGCGGCGCCATGGTCTGCGGAGGTGATAGAGAATGTGGCGCAGTATGGAGGAGCAGTTGGCGCAGAATGTGTCGTCGAACCATTCTTGGGAGAATTCGAGGTTGGGGCGGGTTGTTCCTAAGTGGCGCCATTGTTTGGAGAGTACAGTAGTTCTTACTAAAATTAGTAGCAAAAAAATAGGTCAGCATTTAATGCAGCTTATAAATAATAGTTTTATTATTTTTCTTATTTTCTTCTTTAAAAATCATACAATTTAATTTATAAATACGATTTAATAAATAATAGTTTTATTATTTTTTTTTATTTTCTTCTTTTTTTTCCAAATTTGTTGTAGCAAATTATTTTTTTACCGAGTACCGAATCGAAAGATTCGTTCCCCGGGTCGATCTCTCGAGGAAGGCGGTTCGGAATCTAGGAATGGTGTTCATAACGCATAAAAGAAAAAATAAATCCTAAACACTCTAATCAAGATGAATTGGTTTTATCAACTAAGAACTATAGAATAATGCAAAAACATAAATCTACCGAAAATACAAATTAAGTAACGATGGAGAAACTAGGGAGTCGGGGATAATTGTTTTCGGTTCTAACACAACTACCGGGCAATCAATTGCTTGGTTAAAGGACTTGAATCATCTCTCGTTCAGAGATTCACTCTCAATACAGTTACAAACAAGAGAATGAATGTAAACGATCAACTATCAGTTCCAGCAACGCATAGACAATACAGTTACGAAAAAGTCTACTCTAGACGAGCCTATATCGACCAACGTCTCCCCTCTCGGTTCTACACGTTGATTTATTAGGTTAGAAAGGTGATCAATCTACTAACCCTAGAACAAGCACAACTCGCATAGATATGAGCAATTAAGAACAAGCAATTATTATCGAACCTAATCAATCATCTCCTATCCCTAGCGAATGAATTAGTTACTCATATGAAATTCAACACAATCCATCTCAAGAACCCCAAACATTCATATTCAAGGATTAATTGAAAAGGAAAACTTATGATTAGTAGAGAATAAAGAGTCGAATTCAATGAACACCTTAATCTGGAATAATTAAAGAAGAAAAGCCATCAAAATAATGATCAAATCTGAGTTTTTAGAGTAGTAGAAAGTGAAAAAAACAATATTGAGGGTTGTTCCCCCGAGTCTAAGGATTGTTTTGATATATAGTACGCGAAAAATGGAGCTAAAACGAGTAAAAACGAGCAAAAATAAAAAACAGGGTCGCGACTCGAAAGTTGACTCGCGAGTCGCGAGTTGGACGGGTCGCTGGGCTGCTGGAGGCTCTGTTAATGTCGCGAGTCGCGACTTTATGCTCGCGAGTCGCGAGATTCTGGACTGCACTGCGCCATTTTGTGTTTTCGCCTCGTTTGAGCTCATCCGAACTCGGAATTGAGTTCTGTTTTTTCCTACGCGTCGCTAACGAACCCCTCTATCCAATTATGCTCTCGAAAGCAACTTTTTCTGAAGAGAAAGTTCGCCCGAAGCTCCAGACCTACACACCAAAAACGATAAAACACAAAAGAAAACCGGAAAAACAATTGAAAAACATCTGAAGACTCAAAATGTAGGAAAACATATCATAAGCCAAAAAACGAACTAAGAACTAAAGAAAAGACCTCAAATGGGGGGAAAAGAAAGATAAAATAAACACAAAAAACGCAACAAAAATGGAACAAACAACTCCCCCACACTTAAACCTTTGTTCGTCCCGAACAAAAAGAAAAGAAAAGAAAAGAAAAGAAAAGAAAAGACACAAAACTAAAAACTCAAGCATGGACAGCAGTCATTAACAAGATAAGCTTCAAAATGTTGAACTTCAACAACGAGCATTCAAATGGCATATACGAACATTACACAACTACATGCTTGATCTCTATACTCCGATTTGGCGTTCTCTCAAGTATGGGAATATATATGTGTGCCTCACTCAAATTATTATACAGATAAAGATAGGTGCACTCAAATTGGTCGATAACAAGTTCAATCATATGCTTGCCCTTTGTCTAACTTCTACTCTAAATCAATCAAAATCGAAACTAGTGCATCAAAAGGTCTTTCCAGGTTGTAACGTAGGCTCTTTGGATAGGTAGGATAAATATAGACTAAGTGTCTCGAATTCTATTTAAAACAAACACCTTACCCCAAAAATCATACACTCAACCGGTTGCTCAAACAAACCGGATCCTCCCCCACATTTCTCCTGAAACCACACGTTTCACCCATTTTATTTCATTTTTTTTTCTTTTTTTTTTTTG